AGCCATGCCTGCGACTTTGACGTTGGTCAAGTGGCCAAGTACCAGCTACTGCTCTCGCAGGCCAACGCCACCCAGCGCTGGACCCTTGTCGATAGTCTTCAAGTGTTTGGTGCGTAACAACCATAGACACCATTTACCAGCAATGGATATGTCGGTAGATTCTGACAAGCAAGGTGGCAAGCCAGAGCTGCGCCCGCTGCCTGATTTTCTGCCCGTGCAAGACGCGTCCGAGTCGCATGCGGTGCCGTTTGGGCAGCTCTTTCTGCATGTGCTCGTCGTCGCAGCGTGTCTCTTGTCGATGATTGCAGTCGTCGCGCACTCGCTCAAGTCGCGGCGGGAGGGGTACGCCGCCATCTCGCGCCACGCCCAAGTCCAGAAGAAGCAAGTGCGCCGGGTGGACCTTCGCCATGCGAACCCGGTTCCGCGCAACGAGGACAAGGTGCTGCGTCACTCGCACGAGCAAAACGAGCGCTTTGCAGTTTAAAAATAAGAAACACTGCTTGATAATCTGTACGAGAGCCTCGACGACGACGACTGTGGCTAGCGACGTCGACCAAAGATCGTCGAGAAGAGCACAATGAGGATCGCGAGGATCATAAAGCCCATGACGCCGTACAAGATGAGCTTCTGCCGCTTGTCCCGTGCCGACATGCGATTGAGGATGCGGCCTCCCGCGCGTGCCATGTCGTTGACCGATTTGACCTTGTGGTGCGTCGCTTCGATCTTTTCTCGGTTCCGACTGAGCTCTTCCTGAATGCCAATGGCTAAGCAGCGTGGTATATGAGCTCTCGATGACGGCCGTGAGATGCGAGCGGGTACCTGTTTCTTCCGTCTCGAGCACGGTTTGGTGCGCGGCCGAGATGCGATCGCCCGTCTGCTTGAGCCTAAAGGAGCATGCGTGATGCACGTGGCAGGACGGACGTCCACGTACTTTTGCGTGGCGCCTTGCATGCGTGCGCGGGCTTCGGCCGAGCCAAAGAGCCCGTTTTCCTCCTCCTTTTCGCGAATGCGCTTGAGATCATCCGAGAGCGACTTGAGGCTCTTCTTGTACTGGTCGACCTTCTTGGAGAGCTCGCGCTTCGTGGCCGCGTCGAGGCTGCGCACTTCGAGGTCCATTTGCTGGATCTACGTAGCTATTGCATGAGCCTCGCAGTAGTCGCTCGTGCGTGCGTACGAGCTGCGTGGCCTGCGTGGTCAAGTCGCCCACGTGCGTGATCGCGGTCCGCTTCTTGTCTACGTAGCGCGTGAGCATGAGCAGGACGCTAGCCATGGCCTGCGTACCGGGCGCATCTTCGTAGGAAGAGATCTCGCTGATCTTGATCGAGATGGACTGCGCGAGGCTCTTGTACTCCTCGTCGTAGCCGTCGAAGATGGTCGTCATGGTCCGGCCGCTGGCCTCGGTCGGGAGCGTCGAGCGAGAAATGGTGGCTAAATCCGGCGAATAAAATAAAATAAATATTCGCCGCGATGCAAAAATTGCTCAACGTCTACAATCTTCCCAACGTCCTTTTCAACCAATCCTCGATCGCCGGACCGCTCTTTTTGGCCAATCCGAGGCATCCACGGGTGTAAGCAACGTCGCCCTCAATATTATTTTACACCATTGTCATTGACATCCTGCTCTTTGTATACAAGTGACGCCAACGCCATTGTATTTCGATTTTGACGACCAGCATTCTGCTACACTGAATTGCCATTCACCCGGATGTGTGTCGTCTCAGGTCCCAGTCTCTCCCAGATCTTCATGCACCAGAAGCAGTCAAACCATCTAGAGCTGTTTAGAGGAAGTACATTGCTGGATCTGTTCTGCTGCTAAACTGGTTTGTCCACGCATCAGGTTTGTGTTTCGCTGTAGCGGCATGTATTTTGCTGTTTGATTAAGATCCCTCATTCCAATCTAGTTCAAGCGGCCGTACCATGATTAGCGCAATGTTTTGGGTGTGCTGCTAGAGCCAACCAAAGTACCAGAGGACGAGGGTGCACGCAGCCAGGGGCATGGCATGATCCGCGTACGACGGGGCCAGAAGACTGCAGACGATGCTGCCGACAAGCACGCAGGTCACACAGCTGAGGCTCAAGAACCAGTATCCGAGCACGTAAAGCACGGCGAGTGCAACCATTCGCAGTGCTTGGAGCTGTTGACGTTCAAGCTCGCGCTGGCGCTCAAGCTCGCGTTGCCGTTCAAGCTCGCGTTGACGTTCAAGCTCGCGTTGACGTTCAAGCTCGCGTTGACGTTCAAGCTCGCGTTGACGTTCAAGCTCATTTTCGCGCTTAGAGTGCGCCGATGGCACCAACGACCGCGACCATTGCACCAAGGTTGTCGAATGCCGCACTGTGGCCCGTATCCGATTCGGACCGTTGACGACGAGCGTCAGGATCGATGCTGTCGGACGCAACACCGTAGCGCTTCGCCATTGACGTCAATCGGTCATTCACGTCCGGGTTGTACTCTAACGACTTGTCGTGGATGACGTCGTCGTTGAGAAACTTCCGGTCGCTTTTCTTCAAGAGCGGTTTGCCGTAAGTCTCTTTGGTGTGGTTGTCGCACTCGCGAAGGTGAGTCGCGACGCCGCGCTGCTCGAAGCTAGCCTGGGCCTCCATGCCGCCGAGAGGTCTGTCTCAAAATAGCACTTCGTTTTTTGTTCACACCTTACATATTCACACCTTACATATTGCCGAAATCGAAGACACCGTTTCGGCACAAACGAAAATCTGCCACAGAGGCATACGCAATGCTCTCACCTGACCCAGTCCATAATTCAACCACCATGGTCATGCATTATTGACACCGAAATCGACTCGTCGTGGTTTCTCTCGCGCTTTTCTTATCTCCAAGTGAATCACAGTCACACATGTACGATTCTTATCTCGGGCAAACCAATATTGATGAGCGCTTGTGGTCAGGGTAATATCCGAAATTGAGACTCGGCCATGTTGCGAGCTCTTAAGATCAGAGCTCTTGCTCCTGAACGTCGTTCCGCAGAGCTGTTTGCTGCAGATACCACCACACACTGGATTGTCTATGTGACCTTCTTCTATGTTGTTTGATCCGCAGCTGCCAGCTCGGCAGTACGGTCGTGTCACTATGAATAGTGAGTGACCTGGCGTCGTGACGCGCCTGACTCGCTGGGAGCCCTTCGCTTCACCTGAGTCCAATGAGGCCAAAAGGGGTGGTTTATCTTGGTTACTGGGACCTACACTACAGCGTGGATGCCTGTTGATTGGCTGGACCTCTGGGGGCTTGTCGACGGTCGTGTGCCCCGGGGCCCCGGATGGCCCGTGCTGGACCCAATGCGCATGTTGCAGGCTAATCGCGGCTTGAGGGGGCCAAAAGCCTCACGACACTGGCGCCCAAGATCGTCAGCCGCCGTGGCCAGCGCAAATCTTGTCGACCACGTTTGATTGGCCGAGCGGTACTGGCTCGAACCAATCACAAGCGCTCTGGAAGAAAGGCCAAATCCACTTTGCCTTTGCCGTTGCCAGCAGTCAATGTCGGCGTGGGAGCATCCAGCCGTCGCGCTCGAGATCACGCGCCGCATTGCGTCGCTGGTCGACGTCGCGAGCTTTCTGCGCGCACTGCCGAGACGCGCCCTCGACGATGCTCTCGTGGCACTCCTCGAGCTCATCGCCCTTTTGCCCACAGCCTTCCACCACGCGCTGTGGCCCGAGGTCCGTCTCTTGTATGTGCCCACGGAATCGTATCCCGTGCTGCAGCGAGCACTGCCAGCCTTCAATGCAATCCGCCTCACGCAGTCGTGCGACACCTGCAGCTTGCGCTTGCCCTCCACTGTGTCGGTCGTCGTCGAAAACCTGAGTCGCTCGTGGGACGACGACGATTCCCCACGACCAGCTCGAACCGTACAAAGCACGCTCACCACATATTCGTTGAGCGTCATGGAGGTAACGATCGACATTCCGCCCTCGAACCACGAGGCCACACATCAAGCGCTCGCCGCGTGTCCAAACGTGCGGCGCGCGCATGTGCGATGGGCTGCCCTCAACGACACGGCGCTCCATGCCTTTGTGAATATGATGCGCCATTCGTGGCCTCGCCTGGAACACCTCCATCTCGAGTCGACGGCTTCTCGGTCGGCGGCGCCGTCACTGCACGATACGATGAGCTTTTATGACTGGCTCAAGCAAGCGCATGTCTCGTCGATGGTCTTGGAAGGCGTCGCCTGCTCGGCTGAAGGCGGCCGCGTCATTGTAGCAGCACTCTTCAAGTCCAAAACGTTGCGCTCTCTCCGCTTGCTGGACGTGGGGACGATCGAAGTGATACTGTTGGCCGCCAAGTACCCACCCCGGTTCGACTTGCCACGCCGGTTAACGACCCTCCAAATCGGCAACTTTCTCTGGTGGCCCTCGTCTCTGTCGAGGTGGGCGTTGATACTGCACGGTGCACGCTTGCGTGTGCTCGAGCTCGACGGGGTCGCCATCTGCAACGTTGACGCCTTGGTGCCGATCACAGGGACGATGCCGTACTTGCAAGACCTCAAAATCAACGGCGGCAGCCTTGACGCCAAGCTACCCATCGAGTTGCATAAGCTCTGCCACCTCCAATTGACCAGCGGGTCGCTTTCATCCTCGGCGTTTGCATCGCTCGTGTCGATCTTACGGACGACCACCACGCTACAGACGCTCAACCTTCGACACGCCGAGCTATCGACGCACCAAATCGCAGCGCTCGCCCACGTGCTGCCGATCTGGCTCACTCGCTGCGGCACGTCTCTCGTTGCGTCGTACATCGAACTGGGTGCCCGCGAGCGATGGCGTTCGGGCTTGTACGTCTTCTCGGGCTGGCAGAGCCCGTTGCGCTGTGCACTTTTACGGCAAGGCAAAGCTCGCGCGATGGTGTTGGCGGCGTCGCTTGCGCAGCTTCGACCGCCGCACGCCGTCGCGATCGACCTCGGAAACAACGGATTGTCGGCCTTGGCGCGTTGCGCCTGTGTGGCGGCCTTGGCAAGTACAGAGAATGTGACGGTTGACATGAACGGGAACGAAGAAAGCGATGAAGACGATGATGACGATGATGACGACGACGACAACCACCACCGCCGCCGAAATCGAAAGCGTAGCGACAGTTCTAGTGATGAAGAAGACGACGCGGCGACGCTCAAGGCCAAGGACCTGGGCGTGCGCTGCGTTCAAGGCGGCGTCTTTGCATCGGCCAACACAACGCACACGCAGTATACGTCGCCCGATCGACGCACTCGGTACATGCCATTCTAAGCCGTGTTGAATCCAGACGGTGTGACTGAAAGTGCCTGGCTACACAGAATTAAACGTAATATTGTCTCAAATCACCGAGTACACGTTTTCCATTCCTGGGTCCAGATGCTGTCGTAGCAAGCTTGCTAAACCAAGAGAACTATGCTTGCAATATTGCACTTGGGTGCCCAGATTGCACCGACGGATGAGCCGTCGACACGGCTGTCACGTGAGAGACGACAATCTGCAATCTCGTACTAGTACTTGCTTATCTTTGCACTGGAGGTAGCTACTCGATACTCTCAAGGTGTGTCAAGGCGGCGTGGAGCATCGCAAGGCTATAACCTTCTTCGCCTGCTTCCAGTCGCGGAGGCAAGAAGGCGTCCATGAGGGCAACGTACGACGCGAGGTGGCCGTGTGTCGCGACAGCCTGCGCCACCACATAGGCCAGCACCGAGGGCAAGTCATCGGCCGAGCTATCATCATGCGCGTTCAAACACAAGGCGAGGAGAAGCAGCGTCGTACATGTTGAGCCGATCCAATGCCATGCTGGGGTCGGAGGCATAATGGCGTTTGATGCAGCGGTCAATGCTCGTGCAAGTCGCAGCGACGCAGCGGACTTTCGCACTTGGTGTTCGCGCACTCCCAAGCGCAGAGAGCACCGTGATCGCGTCGTCGTACAACGGCGTTTGGAACCGATATGGCATGTCGTACGCGTCGCGTGGCAACGCTTTCAAGTGCGCGAGCTTGGTGCTCCACGCTTCGTCGTCCGCGCTGTAGACCTGGGCAAACACATTGTGGAGTGTCGGCTGCAAGTGAAGAAACAGTGCGTCCTCGACGCTCTCGGCCGCGACCTCCAAAAGCGAGGCATCGTGCTGGAGCGGCGGGTACTTGAAGCTAAGCACTTGCAGCAATACGCCGCCAAACTCGCGCACGTCAAGCGCGGCGTGCGCAGCATCCTCGCGCGACCTCGCCGATGCATACAAGCTATGGAAGATCTCGGCAAACTCAAAGAGCACACTGCACAACGAGTGCTGGACGG